AAATGCATGTACAAATATCTGCAAAACGCTCAAAATCTAGAGCGATCTTCACCAAGACCGCCAGTGACGGGTTGCTCCACGTCGTCATTTGAACGTAGCACGAGGTCCGTGTACAGGGTTTCCTGCCAATGGCGCATTGGATGTTCGTAATCTACCGGGGTATAGAAATACGGAATTCATAAAAGTAAATAAGGTTGCTGAATTCAAGATCATGCAGCGCAGAAAATAGTGTTAGCGCAGTCTTACTCGCGTTACAAACTTTTAAAGGCTTCAAATTCATTCAAAGCTTGGGTAGTTTTATACAAAGGTTTTACATGTCACATTTTCTTCATTGAATTAACCTACTGAACATACCAGTATCTTCACTGCAGTGCTCCAGCCCTAGATTGGAGACTTCTCTTTCAGGAACACTTCTTGAACTGTTAGCCTCCCGTTCTCGTCTTCGTCTTCTAAAATAAGCATTCATAATGTGCGTCATAACTGATAATACCTGCCTCTACTGAAGCTTAAGTACTAGTATAATCCTACCGTTCTAACGTGCCAAACGTGTGAAACGTGGCCATAATCTTTAGTTATTAGATGCACTTCCCTTATTCATCTTTTGTAAGTGCCCATTGGTTGGAAAAGTAATAGATGCAGGAACAACCCCTACGGCGGTCTAATAATGTTGCAAATTCACCACCTAAGTGACATTACCTCAGCAGTGTTATCACGATTGCCATAACCACCACCGCCGCCACAAATGTGGCGCCAACAACACCACCGACGATCCCACCGATTTCTGAATCTAAAATGTTTACAAAAGTGAAAGTGAAAATTTGTTTGATAAATATTTATTGTTGCTGTTTGGGTTTGGGAAGTTGAGTAAATGCCAAATAATAACAATAATCAAAACCAGACAAAAATGATGTTCTAGAAATTGTGTAGCTTGTGTGTTTCAGCCATCTAGACCTACTTGTATAACAGTTGCTGGCACATTTTTCTTTCAAGTTATGTTTCTTGTTACCATTTTACGTATGTATGAAAAGCCACATACCTTTTGGTTCCGTCCACGTGACAAGCTGTGACGAATTCCCATACCCTGCCGACGTTTTGGCTTTCAAACTACACGTGTACCTAGTCCCCGATACCAACTGTTTAAACATGTAGCTTCTTGCATGCATACTGAGCTCTGCGGAGACACCTTTGCCATCAGTGTAACATTCAATCTGGATTGAATAACAGTTACAATAAAAAAATTGAGTCAAAATTTACAGAACTATGTCAAACGATCCATATTTGTAGTGCGTTTTTTTTTTTTTTTTTTTATCATTTTTGACAAGCATCGAACAATTACCTTGTAGCCTGTTATTATTCCATTTCTGACACGTGGTGCTTTCCATGAAAATTCTAGAGACGTTTGCGATCTGCTTGTAGCGGTGAAGTTAGAAGGTGGTCCTGGCTCTGTTCAAACAAAAAAGCACGTATTATACCATCATCAGAAGAACATTTTGCATAACTCTAAAACAATTTAAATCTGAAGTGAACATTATTTAATCAGTGTAACGTTTTTTCTTCTTTAAATGACTTAGGTACAGAGCTCAGCACTTCATGGTTCATACAAACTTCCTTCAACTGTTATTGTTTCAATGGTCTCACTGTACTCGCCGTAGCCAAGGTTGGTCTTTGCACGAATCTAAATCAAAAAGGAGTAATTAAATTTGTCATTTAAGTGTGTGTCCGGCAAAGTAATTGAGACATTCGAAAAGAAAAACTCAAAGAAGATCAAAGCCACTTTCATAAAGTATTCACAATCAACGTTATCGTTATGGCTAGCATCAATTCAAGGACAACTGGATGTGATCTCAGTGTCATGTTTGATTTGCACAAAAATGAAAATTAATCAAATAATATTATTTAGTCCTAACATGTCTTCGAAAAAGCCGAAGAGATACGGTGAAAACTAACCCTAAACCAGTGCGTCGTGTTGTATTGAAGGTCGCCTATAGACTTCCCCCTAGTGTCAGAGCTCACAATTAATACCTTCCAGTTAGTCACTTCCATCGTATAACCTATATCATATTCAGTTATGATTCCTCCTGGAGGCCATGGAGCTTCCCAGGTCAACTCTATGGAATCTTTACTCCGACTTACAACGGTAGGCGGTGCCATTTTTGGTGGGACTGAACAAATACAGAACCATTTGTTTGTATTTAAGCACGTCATTACTCATTAACTACTACCATCTGTACACTGCCTAAGCAATTAATTATACCTAGCTGTAATACTGAATGTTATATGGGTGTTACATAATGTTAAGTTAGGCCCTATCATTGTTACTGAATGTGCTTTGAACAAACAAGTATCAACACCATCATAACCTATATTTTAGAACATTTTGTAGTACCTACCTCCTTCCGGTGTCCGCCCATTTAACACCAATACTGGTCCCTCAAGATTAAGATTATTCACTGCTGATATGAACTGCTTCTGTCATATCCTAAAATGTCAAGGGAAAAAGGCATAGTATTGCTTTTTTTTCGTTTCTATGTTTGTTGTGAATGCATGTTCTCACTATTATTATACAAACATTCGTCAATTATAGTAAGAATAAGATTGTTGTTATGTTTATACACTCGTAAGGTTATATCTACCTCAGTTAGATATTAAGACTTAAAGTTACAATTTGTTTAGATCCGTATAATATAAAAGCCAGGCAATACTGATAAGTTTGTTTATGAGCGCGACCGACCATAATTTTGAAAAAAAAATTTTCCGCACCTATTTTAATAGAAAAAAAAATGATTTGGCTTTGGCTTGGTATGTGGAAAATTTTACAAATGACCCAAGGAAAATCATAATGTTACTTTTCTGTGCTTTCACTCGCTCACTCTCTGAGGTTGATACCCCTCCTTTTGAAAAAAAAATGTTACTTAGATAGAGTCGCGGCCCGTTAAACATTTTATCATTTTGTCTATAGCCAAACGACGAACATGTGTTTTTAATCTTATCTGTGCAGTGTTCCAAGGTACTTTCAGGGATGGGATAATGTCTGGTTGTGGAATCATAGCAGGAGCTAATTAGAAAAATCAGAAAAAAATACATGTACCATACTATACAAATCAATGTTTATTTTGATTGGCTAAATCTGTGACAAATGAAATTACACACAGTGTGTAAAATTGCATTCAAGTAGTTATCTGTGTTGAACAAAGTAGTTACAGATTTTTATTATGGAATAAATTTTATGGAATAATTAATACTCCATAGAAGCTGTGGTTATCCAAGATTTCATCTAATTATCGGGGTGCCTGAGTGCTTGATAGAAAAGGCGGGAACGTGCGAGATATAAGGAACGTTGGGTATAGATACATGTTTTTTAAATCTTTTAATTATTATTTAGCATGCTACTCCCTGTCTTCAGTAATGTAAACTAAAGAAATTATTAACGTTTGAGGGGACAACATCGCCAAAGGCAGAGCCCCAAAGACAATGCTGCCCACTACATGGCATGTTCTTAAGTGCAGTATTGATGGACTCACTTCATCCAGTTTAATATCCAAACACCACATATTCTAAGCTGAACACCATAAAAGTATAGTTGTATCGAGTTAAGTAACATGTCATCTATTATCTTCCGAGATTTAGAAATAAGGTAAGAATCATTTTTGACATTCTTACCTCCACATGTCATTTTAGCGACACTCGGACTTTGTTGCCCCTCCTGTCCTTCTTCATCCTCGATAGATACAGTGAACTCATACGCTGTGTACTCCAGAAGGTTTTCAATGGTGATGGACGTGATATCCGCAGAATTTTTCCTAACGTCAATGACGTTACCGTCTTTCCAGACTCTGGCAACGTAAGAGCGTACGCTGCCTTCCCCCGGGTATCTCCCCGAAGACCAAATGTCCCAGCCAATGCTAACAGAATGAAGCGTTCTTGAGGTCACTGTAGGTGCCATGTCAAAATACGGCCTTTCTTTAATGGTAAAAAGGTATAAAGATAGTATATATGATGGTTTGTGTAACTTTGCAAAGCATTCCTATTTTACATGTCCCTAATTTTGTGACAAAAGAATATTTACTGGAATTGCGCTTATTATATAGCAGGTAAAAAGGTTTATTTACGCTGGTGGCATCCGTAGCCTTTCCAGTAGGTTTGACACCCTTCAGGACATCTGAAGCCATTGGTTACACTGCAGGTAAAATCTCCTAGGCAGTGGCACGTGTATTCACACAATGGCCCAAATTTCCCAAATGGACACTCTACAATTTCATATTTAGAAAAAAAGACATTGAAAATGCATTACAGTGGAAAATTCCCTTATGAAGAGAATTATTTCTTATGCTTTTAAACAAAGATGGTAGTATGAGTATAAGCGCATATGCTTTTTGCCATCTAGGGGAGACCGGGGCTAGTTGGACCCTGGGGTAAGTTGCCACCCCTCCATCCCCCCCTCCCCCCCCCCCGGTCAATTTATGAAAAAGTAACTACGAGGTAAAATAATTGGCCACATAATCTTGTTAAGTGTCCGTAGCCTACAATGCTAAGGAAGTGTCGGACGTTAAAAAGTTTTAATTAAGCGGTGAGTCCAAATAAACGATTTTTGCACCTAAAAGTAATTTTGATTAAGAGATATACAAATTTATTTTCATAGGCTTTTGATCAAATAAAATATATAGGGTTACCACTTAATATGGAATATTATTTTTTGGCGAGTAAATTTTCTACAAAATATTTAATTTCTCTCTAACTACTTTAAATCCAAAGCTGAGGTGTCAATCCATGTGTAGCCAGGTGTGTTACCTAATTACCACATAACTCTCGAAACAATTGATGCATGCAGTTGCATTTTCTGTGGTCAGAAATGTGAGGGGTGGTCTTTTCGGCAATTTCTGCCCTTGCATAAAAACGCATGGGTTTGGTCAATCTTTGGAGTGTGTTTAGAGAAGCAACAAAGGGATCGCTCTGAAACTTGACAGGTACCTTAGTGAAGATATGGTTCAACAGCTAAGCAACGCAGCTTACTATGAGATTCTTGTTCTCAGAGATAATGACCAGAAACGGACAGCCATTGCCAGGTAATTCAACTGATTTTTAGTTTCTTTTAAAATGAAAATTAATTGTTTGTTTTTATTCATTAAAAACCTGCTTTATACCATTATTTACTTATTCTTAATTAAAACAAAACAAGTTTTTTAATATATATATTACAAATACAGCGTGACGTACAGAAATCTCAATAAATCTGCCTCCATGGCGGGGCAAGCTGGCCCCCCTGACGTCAACTGCGTTTTTTGTCAAATTGTGAGCCATCTGCCACAATGTTTGAAAAATTATGGCGTTGCATACGTAGCTTAGTTCATGGGGCTTACTTTGAAACCGGTTTTGTTACTCTAACTTAGTTGGCTCTACAAGGCCAAAAGTGTCTAACTGGGCCAACTAGCCCCGGTCTACCCTAACCTTCCCCAGTTACTCCGCACGCTCCGAGGTATGAAAAAATAATACTATTTAGTTTTTGGTACTTTACCTATTTGACACACGTTCTGCCGATTGCTCCAACCGTCCGCACAACCAGATGTACAAGCACCTGTACGCCTCTCACACACCTCTGCTGTATCCTTACAGTTACATTTATATCTACATTCTGGACCAAACGTCTTACTACTACCACAATCTGAAAATGTGTGCATCACGTGAGTATGAGCAAAAAATTGTCTCACGGGACCTTTGCTTTGTAAAAGATTATACAAAAAAAGCTTCCGTCACTTCTAACTAGTAAAATAAGGCACACAAAAGCACGTTATGCCATTTTGTCGACAGATTACTAAGGTATTTTATTTCAAAATTTGTATGAATATAACAATAAATATTTAACTTATATTATAAACCAGTGCGTACCATGTTAAATATCAGATAAATATAAGGAGTTAAGGGCGTTTGCATACCTTGGTATTTGTAGCCTTTTACCATCACCTCACACAGAGTCAAAGGTTCTGGTGTGGTGTTGTTCAGACTAACCCTTACAAACTGCCCTACTAAAGGTGCAGGGTTGCAGGGCAGTTCAGCAGAGCTGTCGCCAGGCACCTGTTCCTCTCGTCTGGCACAATGGTAGACCGAGTTGTTTGGCAGTGAAACTTTGACTTCGATATTCTTCAGGCGCCGACCAGCTACCAGACAACCACAAAGCAATTAACGTACATTATTATGATAACAATGAGGCTTTTAAGGAAATAAAATTGTATAAGTTGTGTTCATCTTGCACAACAATTTCAATATCATTCTTAAACAAAAATCTTTAAGTATGAAGAATATTTCTTACAACTGGTCTGGGTGATTGTGTATGCTTATTCACTTTCCTCTTTTTAAATCATATCCCAAAAGTACAATGAAATTTATTTTTAATTTCAATGAATACTCTTTAAAATCTTATTTTGATAAAGTTCCAAAAAATATTTGAACCTTTTTTGAGTCCAAACAATTAATAAGAAAATGAGACTGAAGCAAATGTTTTTGATGCCCTTGAAAGTGTTTTAAAACAATTGTAGAATGTTTTTATTCTAGTTGGGAGTATTCCAAGATGCTAACATAAGATGTGATACAAGCTGCGTGAAAAATCATTGAAAGCATAAAACAAAGAAAAAAAACATTACCTTTTTCCCTGTTCACTAAGGTCACCGAGTAGATGTAATACATGTTACCGAGATCAACTTCCCACCATGGAAAAAGTTCAACATTCTCTTCAGTATGCGTGCAACTGCCGTCGAAAAAACGCGTATTCGTATTACCATCTACGGCAAGTCTAGCGAGACTTCCAGAAGAATAATTACTAGACTGGCTTGCTGTCTTCCCAAGAGCTATGTTAACTGAAATATAAAACAAGTTGTAAAACGCATTGTCAATTCAAGCAGTGATGGCTACCTCCTATAATCTGTGATTTTGTGATTAAAAGGGAACAAAACACTAAAAATATTTCAATCAGCCACATATCATACTGCTATACTGCCAATGGTTACCATTTCTTTTATCACAAATTCAGTGAATTAAAGTACATTTACTGAATATAAACTAGAAAGAAATGAAGTAAGGTATTGCGTCAATTAGTGCCCATATTAATTGTTTTATAAGGAAAGAGTGGAAATGCCACCGTCATATACGAACCTCTAGGTGATTGGTGAAGTCCACAATTAAAAAGGTAATTTTCCATGAAGTTGGCAACACTTCCAAATGTCCAATATTAGAGAGAAGTTTATGTTTCATGGGAACAAAAGCAATAAAAAGGCCGCGTTTATCATATAAAATATAAAAAAATTGTATCAAATACAGTACCATACAGATACAACTTACATGGGTATGTATAACCTCGAACAATAACTTCACACAACACCAAAGACTGTGGCCCTGATCTGGAGATCTTGATATAGCGACCAAGGGTTGGGGGATCCACTGTCTGTTCGAAAGCACAAACGTTTGGTAATAGGATGTTCCCGCGGTTATATGTATCATTACCAACATACATTCTGATAGACGCATGTGCTGGACCTTAATAGAAAAAATAATACTTGTGTCTGTACACAAAAATGTGTGAAAATGGACATCTTACCATGGCAGGAGATACTGTACGTCTGCATGACTTTACCAAATAGATATTCATATACCAATATTACAAGAATTAAAAACACGACGTAAAAGTATTTATTACTACCATAGCGATTCCTAGCACTTACATTTATCCTCTACGGTAGTGGTAAATACTTTTATGGTGTGTTGGTTAATTAGTGGCTTATGTAGTTAATATGGGTGTTAGTGCTAGAAGATCTCCGGGTAGTGTTAGTAAACGCCTAATCCGATTATAAGGCCTGAGAACTTATTATCATACTACATACAGTTGTTTGGCATGATAACCACCACGGAGCGAATAACGTAGAGACCGCCAAGATCGACCAGCCACCAGGGGTCGGTTTCCCAGTACGTTCTCGAACACAGAGAGGCATCGGTACTGTTGTTTCCGTCTACAGCTAATGACGACTGGTAGCTAACTGGGTGACTACTTGATTGTGTTGTTGGTTTTCCAAGGGCTAGGTTGAATTTCTCTGAAAAATAATTAGCTTAGAAAATATTGAATAAGTTTTTTTTTTGTTCATGTGCGATGAAGACAAACGTTTGATAGTGTTATTTCATAATACAACTTATTTATCTGCGTATAAATACAGTTTATTGTCCGTGTCGAGAGAATTGAGGCTACTTTTAGGCTCCATTCACAGCCAAAGTTGATCTGGGGGCTAACAGATCCGCGGATGAAATATCACCGACCCACATGAAAGCTTACCGCGTTATTCCCGCGGGAAATCTATTCTGTGTCTGTTAGGGGATGATGCTACAAGCTTTCAAGTGGGTAGGCTATATTTGATCCACGAATCAGTTAGTCCGCCAATCAACTTGTAATAACCAGGATATCAAGTTGTCAATCTCTCATAACGTCGCAAAACAGATAGTTATACCGCACGATGGTCTCCGTTACGCATTACATCTAAAATATTTACATCAGTGAACTCAAATACAGTAGTTGACTACTAGGCTTCACAACCTTGAAGTTAAGATCCCTTCTTTTATCACAGAGTCTAAGTACAGAAATGTGCACAGCTAGTGAATAGTCAGAAAATTTGCTACGAATATCTAGTCAAAATAATTCTAACTGTGACATGGTAGTTGGTAAATTTCAATCCGTGGGCTACATTCTTAATCATTCAGAAATGCATCGATTTATACTAAAAACATAAAGAAAAAAGGTACACCATACCGTCCATACACCCTATCCCCCAGGGGTTGTCAACACAATGTCCGGGACAGTTTGGAGACAGCGTCTTCTGACAAATTTGTCCATCCTTACAGAAACATCCGCTGTCAGGGTGACATACCCAGCCGAAGTATCCGTCAGTGTAATGACAGCTTTGGCTCTGATGTACTGCAACATAACATTTCATTGATAATATGCTTTATTTGTTATAATAAATATATATTGTATATCTCGTATAGACACCCGATGCAAGCTTATTTCTGGTAGAATGAAATTTCAAAAGCTCTTGATATTTCCGTTACACCGATGATACGATTTAATTGCACTACTCAAGACTTTTACAGAAGTTATATTTTCATCTTTAAACTGCATTTAATACGAATGAGTGGTGTGAAAAAATGCCATAGATCTTGAGCTACTGTGAACAAAACGTACTTCAGTTGACATTACCGTTTACATATCCATATCATGCTGTGTTTTGAAAGGTCGTCAGTCATTATTGGAACAGTGCTTTGATGATTTATCTACACTGGGCAACACTGTGCGATACTTAAAAAAATTATCGGCATTGTGGGTTATTCATATTCATACATATTAAGAGCGCGTCCATGAGAAAGCCAGACAGATCGGTCAGAAGGCGGCAAGGTGGGGGTCAGCAGATTTTAATAATTTTTGGTGTGGTAAACCATCAACATAAAAGATATTGTGAGCCACTGGCTTTCCTATTAGTTTTAGAGATATGGGGGCAGCTCTTTTATTGGCAATTTTGCCAAAATATAGCATTTTTTAGCTCTTGAAAAGTTATAATTTTTAATATTCTTTTAAAAAATCATGTACATTATAAGGAATTATTTAGGTTGGCCACATAATAGGTTACGGAAAGACCTTTAATATCCAGTACAGATTTTTTGAAAAGGCACTGTCATGACTACACAAGGTTGATTCTAATAAGGCATGTTTTCCGTATGCTTGACCCCCTCCCCTTCTTTAAATGCACACAGCTTCTTTTTTGCAGGTTGTATCCATATAATTTTGGTATGTGCTGATAGAAAAGGGTTGAAAAATAAATTTTGTAAAATAAATTCTGTGTTAAACCTTGTAAAATAAGAACTATAACAATTTTAAAAAGGGCCTAAAAACGAATATTTTTATACTACTTAAATGCTTAACTGTTTCTTCAACTAAATTAATAAGTCAAAACCATGTATAGGTTTGTGAAAAGCCCTTAAAATAATTATGTTTGCCTTGCAGACGAACTTATGAAGCTTAAATACATTTTTTAAATTTGTTTATGCTATAGAAACTAAATGTAAAATAACGGTGCTAACTCTGTAACCTATTTTCAACATGGCGGGTACTAGGATTATCACCAGGCGGTNTTGCAAAATAAATTTTGTGAAATAAAATCTATGTTAAACCTTGTAAAATTAGAACTATAACAATTTTAAAAAGGACCTAAAAACGAATATTTTTATACTACTGAAATGCTAATCTGTTTCTTCAACTAAATTAATAAGTCAAAACCATGTATAGGTTTGTGAAAAGCCCTTAAAACAATCATGTTTGCCCTGCAGACAAACTTATGAAGCAAAAAATACATTTTTAAAATTTGTTTATGTTGTAGAAACTAAATGTAAAATAACAATACTAACTCTGTGACCTATTTTCAACATGGCGGGTACTAGGATTATCACCGGAGCAACTGTTGAGCAAAGCACATCGTCTTTACAGTGTTAAAACATAATGTTTTCTTAATTTTATGAAGAACACGCACTAGAGATGCTTAGGTACATCTCAGAAGGATTGGTGTGTACCAGAGTATCACGAGAAATGACCATAGCAGCTGGTCGTCCTTAGAATGTGCATTTTTTTTTTTTTTTTGTTGAACCACTTCAGACTGTTGTCAGGCTTGGGTTCCTCAATATATCCAGCTCATCGATTTAGCTCTGGATGTTTGTTGTAAGGTAAGTGATCATATATATATATATATATATATATATATATATATATATATAAACATATATAAACAGACAAAGTCGGTTCTGTCACTATTTCAGGTACTGTCTTCTATGTATATAGTAATAACCTACCCTGTTGTTAGGTATGGCCGCTTTTTCTTTGTGTTGACCAGTGGTGGCATAAATATACTAGAATCAGATACACTAATAAGTTTGAATATTTTTAAGTAATATAAAGAATATTAAGCAGAATTAAAAGATGTTCTGGTATATTTCAATTCATAGAATTCTACTTGATTTCTATTTCATGGTAAATATGTCTGCTGAAAAGAATTAACTGTGTATCTAATTTATGAAGTATATTTGTGCATTAAATTCTAGGGCTTTGCTACGTGTGTTATCATAACACAAACAGTTAAGAGACAGCTTGTAGACAGCTTCATTAGAAATTTCTTACCCAGAATCAAAGGTATGTAACACACATTCAGTTTCAAGTTTTGGCATTTTAGGGGATGTTACTTGTGCCAGTTTTTTTATATTTTAGTTTCATATATGTAGATTTATGTGTGTTAACAATAAAGTTGAGTTAACCACTTAGCTTTATGTGACTTTGTAACACACTGTGCTTCAATTTTCAAGACTTACACAGAACACTTGTACAACTTAAAGTACTTTAGTAAAATCAGGAAGACTTTGCAGTCCATTATGTTGTTCATGTTGCTTTGCAAGGGGGTGTGCCAGATTACAATGCCTGAGCCTGAGTGTGATACTCCGCTGAGATAGATTGATCCTGCTACAGTAGTTTCTATTCTGAACACAGTAAGCCTCTGTTGTTGTAAAATTTTTATTGATGTTATGTTTATTTTTCAGATTTTACATCCTTGGCCTGGATGTGAACCTTGAAAAGTCACCTGAAATTGCATAGGCAAATTCATCAGATTCAGATGTGAGCACCAACTCTGTCTTTCTATCATGAAATTCTGGTAGCTACATCATGCATATTTGATTTCATTTTCAATCATTGTTTTTACTTATGCAATATGTTTGATCAGTATATTATTTAGTCATTGTTTTTATACAGCAATTAACATAAGTTTAAAATATGTTTAATACATTTTCTTTTGACAGCCTGTCCTGCCATCTTCAGGTAGACGCAGTAGTGGATATCCTGGCGAAACCTTTATTGGACTTAGAGCCACCTTGGGACAATCCCCCATAACAAATGTGCATCTAGGCTTGGCAATCTCACTCAGTTTTGTAGGAAAGGAGGATTGGCACCATTGGATTGACAAATATTGACAATTGACAGTTCAGTCACACTAAACTATAGTGGCATGTTGCTTCAAGTTACCACACTTATTCTAAGATTGCTGAATTATCATTACTGTCTAAGGAGACCCTAGATCTCTCAACCAGAAGAAGAAACTTGGAGATCAATCAGTTTTAAATTAAAATCTCTGGAACACTACCCATCACTGTTGTGTTCTGTATATGGAAAAGATGACCGTGATATTGGAACCCTGGAGATTCATAACTTGATTTCACTCCTGTGAAAAGTAACTGCTTTGTTCTTTTACTGTCCAATTGATAATATGAAAATAAAGTACTCCTCCTGTCATTGTATGTTGCTGACTCTGTTTTAATTTTCTTTATAGAAAAAGAATATAGATATCAAGATATCACATGTATTTACAAAACCTATGAATCATTTGAAAGGAAAAAGAATGGTTGAAAAATGCAATATAAATCATTTCAAGTGGATTAATTAGTGCTGCACTTGAGAAAACTGATAAAATGAGACAGTCATTCCCTTTTACCTTTAGAAAAATCCTTTGTAATTTTTTTTATTTTTCTCTACTGCTCCCTGAAAATAAGGTATATACACAATGCTGATGACATTGGATATGCACAGTAATAACTTATTAAATGGGAGGGGGGGGGGGTGAATAAGTTAACTTGTCACTAATAATTTAAATTTATTCAGAAGTTGTATGGCTCTGTTTGAAAAGAATATTATCTGAGCAATCCTGTATTACAGATCTCAAAATAAAAAACCTGCAAAAATGGGCCTCTTGATTATTTTGAGGAATTACGGTAACTGTATTTTTGGACAGAATTGATGGCAGCCATCTTGTATTTATAAAAATTGGATAGATTTGCCCTTATCAAAGCATTGTTTGAATTTTTGGCTGTGAGTCTTTGATTAAATTTGATTATTGGAAGGTATTATCTCAAAATGTACTGATATCTTGATTTCGGTCGTTTGGTTTTCTGCTAAAATTGCTAAACTAACATGGCGGGTACTAGGATTATCACCGGTTAAAGTTTGAGGCACTTTTTCAATATCTTCTGTTGTGTTTAACACACTTTTTAAAATTTGTATGATGAGACCAATATATGCTCAGGATCCCTATACAATTTTATGGCTGTCAACCCTGCAAAAAGAGAGATATGAATGCTTGAACATTGCTTGGTAGAAAAGCGAGTTTGGGGGGTGGGGTTATAAAAGTGGCTCGTTAGTTTGTGGGTTAAACTGAAATAAAGTAACATATTCTCAATGGCAAATGGCTGGTTTAAATAGGTAAATTATCAATTTATTTTGAAAATTCATCAGTTTTGACATATTTGCTTATGAAGTGGCTTTATTGACCGAATCTGAAAATCAAGCCAAAAATGGCCAAAATATTTAATATTATATTATAATTATATTCAATGATTTCTTTTGGGATTGTTGCCTTCAATGTGAATATCTCCTATATATGCAACAATATTATGAATTTGGTTGAAATCTGTTGACCCCCACCTTGCCACCCTCTGACTGGTCTTATCATGGACACACACTTAACACTGTTGTATTGATATTTTTCCCATGTCATCAATTTTCTTAGTTGATAGTATAAAAATGGCAGTAACCTGTTCATTTTGTTTTGTGTTCAAAAAATTGTTAAAAATGAAAAAAAAAAAAAAAAAACATTTCAGAACAGTGCTGTCTTGTTTACATTTTGGCATTTTCAAGTTGTGACTTTGAAGTTCCATGGGCCTGAGGACCTTTGCTAGTCACATATTCTGAATATCCATGATACTAATATTTTATTATTAAAAATTGATGGTCATTATGCTGTTAAACATTATGTAATATTGCATCAAAATTTGAAAAAAACCTATTTTGGGCACTGCTGTCATAATGACCATTTAAGAAAAACCATGTCACTTACTGTTCTCAAACAATACAGTAAATATGTACAGATGTGTCTGTACATATTGCCATCACCTGCGTCTGTCGTCGCCGTCACTGTCCCTGTCGCCG